TTTTTTTTTTTTTTACTTTAGGTTTTTTTTATTGTTATGTTAGTCACCATACATTACATCATTAGTTTTTGATGCAGTGTTCCATGATTCACTGTTTGTGCATAACACCCTGTTTGTTGTTTCCTGATGACGGTCATGGCCTTGCCTCCCCCATCCCATCTAAAAATGGATGTGATATAGGCGTTAAAACTCATGCGCGTGTGGACCGAGTACAAATGCAGGACGGGCTTGAGATCCCCCAGCACAATCGTGGTTATCTTTTTCAGTCTGTAGGTAAAGAGACCAGAGCTGGGCAGCTAACCAAGGTTAAACGGAAACCAGTTTTTCTGCTGACGGACACTTAGTGAGGATAGAGTTTGAGAGATCTTTAAAGATGAAAATTAAAATAATTCTAAATTGGAGACAACCAAATGTCTAACACTAGACAACTACTAAGCTAATATGCTCACACAATGGAATCCTATACAGCTGTTAAAATGATGTAGATGTGTGTAAGCAAATGTTAAGATATGTTAAGGGAAAAAGAATCAAGGTTTAAGAGACCATGTACAGTATGCTCGTTCTTGTTTAAATGAAAATATGCACATGTATACATAAAAGATGAAAAGAGATGAAGGAATATACATCAAAATATTAAAAATGGTTAGGATGAATTAGCAGATTACTTCTGTTATATTTATTTATCAGAATAATGATGATGACAGATATTACTTTTGCAGTGCTTACTATATGCAAGGCACTCCTGTAAGTGATTTACATAAATACATGTATTATGTATATGACATACATATAACTCTGACATTAACCAATTTTCAACAATAAAACTTTTTCATATTGTAAAAACTTCATAATGTAAAAAGCACTTGAGGAAAAGATCTTAGAGATGTGAGCATCGTTTAGAATTATGGAATTAACTATCAGTGGAACTAAAAGCAGACTAAAGGTTTTCTTTATAAGCCCTTGTTTATATTGGATTTATTGCTGTGAGCATGTATTAATTTGATGTAAATAATAATAAATATGTACAAAAATAACACTTGTTCTTAAAATATTTTTCAAATTTTTTTGACTCAGTTTTGAATTTGAATTCCAACAGTGGAATACAAAGAAAACATACATTTTTTTGGAATCTGTGGTTTAGTGAAACAATTATTTTTGTTTCACTCCGGCAATATATATTCTTCCAAAATATCTTAACAACATAAGATATGCAAATGAATGTATATCACCCTGAGGAATGGGGAGTTAGAGGGTTTATGGGCACAGTTATAAGCAGGAAATTTCATTGCCATTTTTAATGTTAATTTGTGAAATTTACATTCCATTCTATATATCTATTTGCCTTTTATAAAAATTTTTCCAATGATTTACCATCAGATAAAATTGCCACAAATCCAGAAGTTATGTCACGTTTATCTTTTTTATACCTCCATCATAGTGCCTAGTATAGACTATGTGTGTTCCATTTTCTGTAATGGGCCAGTTAGTAAGTATTTCAGGCTTTTGCAGGCCATATGGTCTCTGTCACAATGACTCAGCTCTCCCAGTGTAGCTTAGAGATCATCTGGGTCAAATATTTACCCGATATAGTAGTGAAATACAAGTTATATAATATAGGCTGTCACAAACTTTTTGGTCTTAAAAAGACATCACGGGGAGCCTGGGTGGCTCAGTCATTAAGCGTCTGCCTTCGGCTCAGGTCATGATCCCAGGGTCCTGGGATTGAGCCCCGCATCAGGCTCCCTGCTCGGCAGGAAGCCTGCTTCTCCCTCTCCCACTCCCCCTGCTTGTGTTCCCTCTCTCACTGTCTCTCTCTCTCTGTCAAATAAATAAATAAAATCTTAAAAAAAAAAAAAGACATAGAGAAGTTGGAGCACACATGACTGGGCTAACTCGGATGTACCTTTCCCCTTTGCAGATCCGTCCAGCTCAATGGTCGAACTCTGAAGATGGTGGATGATCACACCCTCCCGGCTTTGACAGAGAAAGCTCTCCGCCCAGGAAGTTCACTGGGCTTGCCACCTTTCTCATATGGATTTTTTGTGATAAAAAATGCCAAAGTTACTGCTTGCCTCTGAAAATGAAAGGCACACACTAGCCCTGAGATTGAATTTTTCAAGTATATTTATTGATAAGAGGAAAGCAAAACCCAAGCTATAGGAAGGCAAGCAGATACATTACAAATCAACTAGTGCGAGCTTCAGGGATCCTGGGACACTCTCCGTGCGAGATTCAGCACAGTCCTTTGTTCTAAGTAGACCACTGCTAATAATACCTTGTGCCAAACACTATGCTTAGTGCTTTGCATGTTCTGTTTTTATTTAAGGTTATTAAAAAGGTATATGGATGCTCCCAATATAGCCAGAAGGCAAGTGAGTGAAGGCTATATGATTAATTTTAAGTGCTTAGTTGTTTTTATCTTAAAAAACAGTTTTTAAAGGATTGCAGGATTCCTTATTCTATACGCTGTCTTTATGGAAAGAGTTTACTGCCACAATCTTCAAATTGTCTATAAATGAGAGACAGTCTCTTTTCACCTAAACAGAGAGCTAAATTCACCTGCTGCTTCTCTTCTCTCTGTGAGAGACAACAGACGGTAGAAGTGATAGTACAAAAAAAGAATTAATGACAATTTAGAGGGACTGGATTATGTAAATGTCAAATGAAATTTTACAGTGACTGTAAATGAAATTGATTTGCCAAGAGGAGAAAATGTAATTCAATACATTTTAACTACCTGTTAATGTTTACTTTTAATCTACCTTTAGTTCTTGTTTTCATTGAGAAACTTTTGGCTGCAAGTAGCAGAAAACTGTGATTCAAATGGCTTAAACCATCAGGACATTTATAATCCTACATAACAAGAAGTTCAAGTAGGGAGGGCTCAGGATGTCACCAAGGAATCAGGTCCTTTGCATCTCCCTGCTCTGTCACATTTAGTGTTGGCTTCATTTTAAGCTGATGGCATGATGTCTGGAGTTATTCCATGGATCCATTCAGACCCGGCAGCAGCTGCAGAAAGATGAGCAACTTTTTCTGCCTCTCCTTCATAGACTTGAAGAACCCTTTCTCAGAGGTTCTCTCAGCAAACCTCTCCTCACGTCTCCTCATGTCTTACTGGTCAGGAATGGGTCACATGGCCACTCTCCCCAGTCACTACCAACACCAATGAGATCTATATAATTGTCTCCTCCTAATCTTTTGGAATGGAGAGGGTGCTGGGAAGTCTATGGCACTGACCACCTTAGTTTTGTGTTTTTATTAGTGACAGAAGGTATTATTTTCTCCTGTATCTTAATTTTTAGAAATATAATTCTCTTTATATTTATGCCTGCTATGAATATTGTCTCAATTAAATTTAGGTACATTTATAAGGAGCTAAAGACAGAACCTAGAGTTGGATGCTTCAACACCCCTGAATTTTATATATAAGTAGTTTTTATATTTTCACATTTAAAATAAAGTAATTTTTATAACCTCAATATTGCATGATTTTTCTTTTAATAAAACTTAAGCCTGAAAAAAAACCCTTAAGCCTGCAGATCCCTACATTTAGAAGCCTTATTTTCCTTCAGCACTAACACCTGCTACTTTTATCTGTCCTTGCCACCTCCCCCACTTGAGAAGAGTTGACCTTGAAGAAAAGAGATCATCAGGTACAAACACAATTTCCTCCTTCATCATGTAGATTTAATCATGATCAAAGTCCTGTCCTGTTTTCCTTTTCCCTGTGCCCTCTGCCACTTAATAAATTTAAAGCCTAATTTCTCATTGTATTATTATAATAATCTCTTAACTGTTCTCCCTGACTTTGCTTAAAATTCTTAATGGCTCTCCATTTCTTATGGTCACAACAAGGTGCTCCATAACCTGGCACCTGCCTCTTTCTTCAGCCTCAACTCTTACTCTTGCCAGGAATTCTGCTCTCCCCGGGCGCCTGGGTGGCTCAGTTGTTAAGCGTCTGCCTTTGGCTCAGGTCATGATCCCGGGGTCCTGGGATCGAGCCCCGCATCGGGCTCCCTGCTCAGCGGGGACCCTCTACCCTTGCTCCTCCCCCCAGCTCATGCTCTTGCTCTCTCTCTCTTTCTGTCAAATAAACAAATTCTTAAAAAAAAAAAAAAAAGTAGTCTGTTCTCCCGCCCACACACTGGTTGGGGGTCTGAACTACAGCCCCCTGTGCCTTTGGTGATACTCCTGTTCTCCACGCAGAGTGATGTTAAGTCTCCTCTCTTGGTGGCAGACTTCCACATTTATTAAGACCTTCTCAAGCACCAGTTCCCACAACTCCCCTATCCTTTCTAAGTAGCTTTAGTCCCATTTCTCTGTTCCTTTAGCAATTGTACAAGTGCATTTTAATTGTATCCATATATCTTTTTTTAAAAGATTTTATTTATTTGACAGAGAGAGAGAGAGAGAGAGAGGGAACACAAGCAGGGGGAGTGGGAGAGGGAGAAGCAGGCTTCCTGCAGACCAAGGAGCCCGATGCGGGACTCAGCCACCCAGGCGCCCCTCCATATATCTTTCCAACTTGACTCTAGGCTCATAAGAAAGAGGTACAGTATCTTAAATCATCTTTGTACTCCCCGTGCTTCGCATATTGTCTGTCACACAGCAGCACTCAGATGTTTCCTTAATGACAGCAAAGAACACATTTGAAACTAGCTTAGGTATTTTGATTTTTTAATAGACAGAAAAAGTTAATGATATTTCAACCTGAGAAGGTATTGTCTATTACCTTTAAAGAGTCTTAAAAATTATCACTAATGAGCTTTTTCTTTTTAAAGATTTTATTTATTTATTTGACACAGAGATAGAGAGCATAAGTAGGCAGAGCGGCAGGCAGAGGGAGAAGCAGGCTTCCCGCTGAGCAGGGAGCCCGACGTGGGGCTCAATCCCAGGACCCTGGGATCAAGACCTGAGCTGAAGGCAGACATTTAACTGACTGAACCACTCAGGCGCCCCGTCACTAATGAGCTCTTACTAATGGCAGATGGTTATGTGAAAAACTGGGGGCATGGTTGTGTGAAGAAAGGAATGCTCTTAGTTATACATTAATGAATATTTTTTAAAAGATTTATTTATTCATTTTGGGGGGGCAGGAGGAGAGAATCCTGAAACCAACTCCCCACTGAGCATGTAGCCCCACGCAGGGCTCCATCCCAGGACTCTGAGATCATGACCTGCGCCAAAATCAAGGGCCGGCCACTTAACAGACTGAGCCACCCAAGCACCCCTATATTAATGAATATTAACTGAGTTAATATTAAGGTTTTAAATTTCCTTAGGGAAAGCTCTTGCCTGTCCTGTCGGTGAGACGTTTTGAGCCCACACCCTTCCACTGGTATTTAATTCATCAAATACATTTATTTCCTACAACTTATCATATTGGTTCCAATTTATTTTTGTCTTTTATTTTGGCCCTGTGGATTACTTCATCTCCCTGGTATCGGGAGTTTCCGGGTCCTGTTGTGAAGCTTGTGTATTCAGGGCTTATCTGTTCAGTAATGGCACTCATTTTCCTTTCCTTTTTTTTTTTTTTAACTCTGATGTGTCTCATCAGGCTGTTGAATCACCTCACGATTGGTAAATCTTTTAATTATCCTTCTAACCAGAATTTTAATTACCAGTGAAACTAATGTAAACACCCATCTGTCTTATCTGACAGCACAATACAAAATCAAAGCAGGAGTGTTTAAAAATAAATAACAGAATGAATAACTAGTTTCAAGTGTAAATATCTTTAGTGATCTTTTAGAAAACGTTACTGATGATGCGTAGACCAGCTCATGCAGTGTATGCCTTAGAAAAACATAATAGCAATAATAATAATTCCTATACCTGCTCCATGTCTGGGTCAGAGATTTGGGTTTTTTTTTTTTTAAGGATAAGATACTCGGTCTTGTCCTTTTCCAATTTTATTCCATTCTCAATTTTACCAACATGGGTTGGAAAACCCTGGAGAAATTTAGATATTTAAAAATTTAACAGCGTTTTTAAAAAACCTTTTCTATTATTGTCATTATTATTATTACAAGATTAAATGCCTATTAAATGCTATAGGTTTTTATGACACCCTTGGTTTAAATCAAATTTGTTCTGGGCGCCTGGGTGGCTCAGTTGGTTGGGCGGCTGCCTTCGGCTCAGGTCACGATCCTGGAGTCCCGGGATCGAGTCCGCATCGGGCTCCCTGCTCGACGGGGAGTCTGCTTCTCCCTCTGACCCTCTTCCTTCTCGTGCTCTCTATCTCTCATTCTCTCTCTCTCAAATAAATAAATAAAATCTTTAAAAAAAAAATAAATCAAATTTGTTCTTTGTTTTCACACTTTTGATGACAGCCCACCAGTTTTTTTTTTTTTAAAGATTTTATTTATTCATTCATGAGAGACAGAGGGGGGGAGAGAGAGAGAGAGAGAAGCAGAGGGAGAAGCAGGCTCCCAAGGAGCAGGGAGCCCGATGTGGGACTTGATCCCAGGACCCTGGGATCATGACCTGAGCCGAAGGCAGACGCCCAACCATCTGAGCCACCCAGGCGCCCCCACCAGTTTTTTAATTGGTTTTTAGGTTACTTTCTTTTGGGCGGGGGAGGGATAGGTGACTTTGTTAAATCCAACTTATTTATTTAGATTCCCATAGACCTTTCAAAGGACAACAAGGCTAGTTTATCCCGTTCTTTTTTTGGCACTCCAGACTTAATAGAACAAATTGCATATTTAGCATATTATTTCTAAACACATCTTAGAAACTCTTACACATCTAACAAATCATACACAAACTTAGTAGATCAAGTTCCCTAAATATTTATTTTTTTTAAGTTCCCTAAACATTTAAACATCTTAAGGGGCGATCAGTTAGTTAAGTGGCTCCCTTTCAGCTCAGGACATGATCCCGGAGTCCAGGATCGAGCCCCCCCAGTGGGGCTTCCTGCTCAGCAGGGAGTCTGCTACTCCCTCTGCCCCTCATCCCACTCATGCTCTCTTTCTCTCTCTCTTTCAGATAAGTGAATAAAATCTTAAAAAATTAAACATCTCAAAAAAAACCAAAATGATAATAAAATCTATATAACTACATCTCATTCAAA